CAGTTCATAGTTACCTGGTTTCTAGGCAGCAACCTCACTGCAGAAGAGTATGGCTGAGCGAAGATGCATAGCTCATAGTGGCTGGAAAACAGAAAAAAGGAATAGTACCAGAGAAAAAGCAGCAAGGGGCCAGACGTGCACCACAAAATTTTGCCTCTGTGACCCCACAGATATACTCCAAAGCATGTGACTCTAATCCACTGGGTGGCTCTGACACCAAACAAGTTGATAACTAACCTTAATCTTATAGTCACAAGATCTTAATACAATTAAATAACTTTATCCATAAAAAGGGTTGTACTAGTCAGTTCAGACTATCATATCAGAATACTACAGTTGTGTATCTAAAACAATAGAAATTTATTTTTTCATCATTCTGGAGGCTCAAAGGCCAGCATCAAGGCATCAAAAGGTTTGGTTTCTATTGAGGTCTCTCTTACAGACATTTGGATAGCTGTTTCTCATTGTATCCTGTGTTGGCCTTTCATCTGGCTTCACATGGGGAGAGAGAGCTTTCTGGTGTCCCTCCTTATTTCTGTGAGCATGCCAGTTCTGCTGAATGAAGGCTGAAACCTTATGACCTCATTTAACCTTCATTGCCTCCTTTCTTGCCCTATCTCTAAATGTAGTCACACTGGAGGTTAAGACTTCAACGTATGAATCTGAAGGAGAAGGCCACAATTTATTCCATAATGCTCCATTCCCTGGCCCCTCAAAACTTTTATCCTCATATGAACAATACATTTACCCACTCCGAAGGTTCCAAGAGCCTTAATTCAATCTGGCAAGCCAGAGTTACATCTAAATCACATAAGGAGAGTCTTGAGGTTTAACTTGCTCTGAGATAAAATTCCCCTTCAGCTATGAAACCAAAAATAGGTGCTTCTAAAATGAAATAGTGTTATAGGCATACAACAGACATTTTTATTCCCAAAGAAAAAAGTGGTAATAGATTTTAAGCAAATCCAAACACAGCAAGGCATATTTCATCAGATATTTAGGTTAAAAATAATCTTTCTAGGATAGATGTTCTGTCGTCTGGATTTCGTGGAGCAATAGCCAAACTTCTTGGCCCAGTACAGTAGTACTGCTCTCTCTCCATGAAGAAGAGAGACCTTGCCCATGAGAAATAGGCTGGGGCAGCATAACTGGCTGAACAGATGGCCACATCTCCTGACACTGAGGAGGTGGCTTGACCTCTGAAAGTAATGTATAGGTAGCCTTGACCTTAAGACTGTGCTCCCAGGGCCTGCTGTGCCAGTGGCAGTTCTACCATTGGCTGAATTGTCCTCTGAGTCAGAATGTTCTCAACAGACCTCTAAACTTAATTCGTAAGTGTCGTTATATTTGAAACAAATTTATTATGGACAGCATAAAGAGTTTAATATTTTTTTAAAAGAATTATGCAACAGAATGGATATTTTGGCTTGATCACTTTGTTTGACCATACACATTTAACAAAACTACTGATTAGTTAGCTTGAAATCTACCAGATTTTTCAGTTATGTACTTGATATAGCTGCTCTTTTCCTTTCATCTTGTCATTAAGTGGAGAATTTTTTATGTGTTACCTCTAATAATGACATAACTATGCATCTTTTTTCAAAGTGAGTCTAGGGATTGCTATTTAATTTTCTACATCCTATGTTTTCATTCAAAGAGCAATAAATTTATAAAAATATACTTCGCTCTTAGGTATTTGTGAAATTATTATATTTTACTTCTACCTATAGCATAGATCCACTGTTGAATGTTATTTTTTTTTACAATACTCAATTATTTTCAAAGAGATTGTAGTATTAGAAAATGTACTTCTTTATATGGGTCCATTTTGCATGTGTTTTCATTTCTTTCTCCTGATCTAAATTTATATCTGTTTACTATTTTTTCTTTTCCTTGAAGAATTCTCTTCTGGAACTAATATGCCATTTTAAAGTTTTCATTTTGTTACATTTTTGGAAATTATTTTTTCTGGTTTTATAATTCTAAATTGGTAGATTTATTTTCCTCTCATAATTTTACATACAATATTCTCATCTTCTAGATTACAAGAAATCAGCTGCTCTTCTAATTATTTTTCTTCTAAATGTAATGTGGCACCTAAAGATTTTAAGTCAGTCTCTTTATAATTGGTTCTCAGCAATTTGATTATTCAGTGTTGTGTGGATGTGTTTGAGTGTTTCAAAACTTCTTTCACTTGGAGTTTGTCAGGGATATTTGCTCTTTGTAATTTTCATCAAATTTGTAAAACTTGTGGTACGATGGGGGAAACAAAGGGAATACAAAGAACTAGTGATTGTTGAGAAATGGAAAGAAACTAGGTCATATGACAGGTTTTGACCTAAACATTCATTAAAACTGAAAGCCAACATTGACATGGGAGTTTTTCAATCAGGTAAACCAATAATAATTTTCTGCATAAGCCAATTTAGTTTGGATTTTTTCTATCTTGCACTTCAACCAGTATATTTGGAATAATCTGGCTGATTTAGACAAGTATAGAATCAGAAAAATCATATTTTTTAAAATAGCTTTTTATATTTGCCTTTAATTTTCTGGTATTACTAAAATGTTAATATTTTATTTCTTAGAAATAATTTTTATTTCAGCACATGTTTTAGTTTTGCCTTTTATTCCAGGGTCCTGATATCTTATGAAATGTTACATATAATCATAATCTTATTGGGGCTGGGGATTTAGCTCAGCGGCAAAAGCGCCTGCCTGGCAAGCGCAAGGTCGTGAGTTCGGTTCCCGGTACCGGAGAAAAACAAAAAAAAAACAACAACAACAAAAAAAAATCATAATCTTATTAATCTATCTCCTTGTAAATTACAAAGTCAGTGATTCTATCATGTGATATTTAAAATATTCAGCTTCACCTGTTTAGGTGAGCAGTATTTTCCTACCTTTTGTAAGCAGGATTCATTTGCATGAGGGAAAGTCTATTGTGTGAATCAATCACTGTAAGGCTTTTCATATGCCTAATATACACAGTTGCAATAACAGAAAAAATGAATCATATTTGCTATTTTGAGTTCCTGGTAAGGGCACAAGCTAATATGACATTTTTAAGATTGAAAAACTTTTCAATAATAAGATTTTGTTGCCTGGGGAAGGGCTATGAGCATCAAACCAAAAATAGTTTTATAAAATACTTTTACAGGAAAGGTTTTCAAATGGAATTCTTGCTTTTCTTAGACCTTTAAAAAATTTCATTACTTGTATATTGTGTCCAGTTAGAGAACAAAAGAATACTGTAAATTATAACAAAAAATTACAGGTCTTCTATATTGATAAAAGTATATATAAAACTCTCAGTGAAAGGTAAATATATATGACTTGATAACTAGGAAAACTCATTAAGAACTACTGACTTCATGCTCATGTCCTCATGCTCCTGTGGATGATGTCAGGGCTAACTACTTTCCTTATCACTGGAAGTAGTACTCCTTATCTCTCTGTTATAGTTTTTGTCTAGATGGTCCCCCAAAGCCTGATGTACTCACAGATGGGGGTTTTTTAGAGGTGGATGGATCAATAGTGTGATGCTGTGATTAAGGGTGTGTTTTTACTAAATTAATCCACTGATTGTTTTGGCATACTTCTGGGTAGGATTAAGGGTACCTCACCCTGGGTGTAAATGTCATCACCTTAGGGTGCGTAGCCTGGATAAAAATATTCAAGACTGAAAGAGGGCCAGTGTGGCTTGTCACTTGCTTGTTGCCTTCTGCCTGACGTGAACTGCTTCTCCTCTGCTATGCTATTGACCATGCCAGCATAAGTTGAGCCAGCCAATTAGGGACTGAAACCTCTACAGATTGTGAGGTAAATGAACCTTTCCTCTTTTAACTTTGACTGTTGTGTATTTCATCTCAACAATGAGGAAAAGTAGCAAAGACATCCTCCTAGTCAGGCTTCAGCTCCCCACCAGCCCACGGAATTATTCAAGTCTATCATGTCTTCCTATCAGAATCAGTGCTCACCCTATCACACTGTTACAACAATATATTCTTCCTACAAACCCTGTTGGTTTACTTTGTTCCATAGTACAACTTCAATGTGTTCCTGCATATTATATGCTTTTTCCATGGGCTATGAGTATAAATTGAAAAATAAACAGTAATGTTTTCATACATCCAATGGTAGATGTGTACTGATAATGCCAGGGATAATTTATCTATCTCCAATGAGGGAAAGAAGAAATGATCAAAATAGGAAGTATTGTGGTAATTAGTTTCATTGACTCCTTGCTTGTAGAGTTGAAGAGAGTGAACTATGGTTGAAGAGAGTGAGCTGGAGTAGAGGATGATGAAATTGATGAAGTGTATCACAAACTGAAATAGAAATACTTTCCTCAGAATCTGTGGCTTTAAGGTTCATCTAAGCACTTTGAAAATTGGTCTGATTGTCAGAATTGGAAAATGCTCCATCCCACGCGCTCTTGGTATGGCACCGGCTTGTATGAACTGTAAGGGCTTAGATAGGTCTGAGAGGAGAAAACATAGTCCTTTCCCATAGTTACAATTTTTACTGCCTTATGTAATAACAACTGGGTCAGATTTAAATTCATTTCAGTGAAGAAATGTGAATTATATGAACATGTAAGTTTAGGGCCTATACCATCTACATTTGCCAAGATTATTTCATGTGCTTGAATTGACCAGTGAATAAATGGCCACTGGCCATTTTCAGTAAAAATTTTGTAATTCCAAAATAATGATAAAACAATCAAAGAAACAATTCTCATCATCAGAATTAAGGACTATATATCTATTTGAATTATGAAAGGTCTTAGTGAGTGTAAGTCTAGTGATTCTAATGTGACCGTCAGCAAGAGCAGCAACCAAAAGAGCAAAGTATGAGCAAGTGACACCATTTTTTGCTGCCCCAAACTGGGATCACGTTTTGATAATGTACTAATACCCCAGTTACAACATGTATTGTTTTACTATAAGCGTAAAAACATCCCTGGTTCAAGAGATAGGTGGCTGGAAATAATATTTTTGTTATTGATAAGAATACAAGGCCAGGATAGTAGACAATGTTTCAGACACACAGCCCAGAATCTAATCTCCGCAGAAGCCAGGTTAGCTAATCAACAAAGAAGGTTACTGTTTTGTCACTATTTTGAGATTCTTCTATTATGATTTTGGAAAACTTTATCAACAGAGAAAGACTTGAATAGACGATCACAGTGTACTTGAAGCCTTTTGGTGTTTTTTCTCTGTGGCTTCTGCCTCCTGTGTCTCTTCTATATCTCAGTAGAATTAGGGATTGCAGCCCAAAAATAAAGTTAACTGTGGTAAAAAGAGAAAACTAAATTGTATTTTAGGTTTCAGAGCTATTAGGAAATTTATCACAGATGATATTAATGCGTTAATGTACATATAATAAATTCCCTTTCCACCTTTCCCATAATAGTAATGCAATAAGCGTTGGATAAAGAATCAGAAGACTTAGATTCATATCCTTTGCTCACTAATTCTTACCTCTAAAGAGAGTTCTTCAAAATAAAAGGATGCTAATTAGTAACAAAAATAAATGAAAATATAAAACCAGTAAAGAGCCAAATTCATAATAACATGATATTATAATGGTTATTTGTAAATTATTTATAATTCTAGTATAATGTTTAGAATGTGCTAAAAATAACTATATAATAATTTGTGCAATATGAAAATATTTAAATAGTGACTGCACAAAATGTTTCAAGAATCAAAATGTAGAATTTTTGTATAAGATAGAAGATATTTTGCTTAAAATAGTTAATTATAACTCTAAGGTACTTTATATAAGCCTTTTATTAACTATAAAACATGTAGTAGATCCAAAAAAAAAGAAAGAGAAAAAAATCAAAGCATACCAATACAAAAAACATCATCAACTTACAAAGATAGAAAACAATGAAGGATAAATTTAAAAGTTTATAAATGAAAATGACAAAGCAATAAAAGATCTACAAAACTAGCCAGAATTCAGTTAGCAAAACTCAATAGTAAGACTTTACTTATCAATAGTTACTTTAACTATGAAGTGATTACATTCTCTAATTGAAAGACATAGATTGGTTGAATTCAAATATTCCAGTATATTGGGCTTACAAGAGCTTCACAGAAGCCTTAAGGATGCACATCTACTGAGACACAAAAACGAACCAGAGACCATATTGCAGTATTCATGAGTTAGAGATATGTTGATCAGCTTCCTTGTGCAGATCGTTTTGCAATATGTACGTATTATCAAAATATCATGTTGTAGACCTTAAACATGTGTCATTTCCACTTTTTCCAGTATTCTTCAAGTTGAAAGAAGAAAACTCCAAAACAGCTCTTGGAAATAGTACGTTCCCAAAGTTCTCTGAATATTCTCCACTCTAGATTGTGTATTCTCGCTCCTACACTGATCGCTTCTGTTTATAAACTGAACGAAAGATCTATCATGTTTATAGGGGTTAAATATGCCTTTCCTACCATGACTGCTGCCAGTTGTTCACTTGCAGCTACAAGGGGAATTAGTGTTAAGGGACACAGGCAATTTTTAGTCTCAGGAATAAACATACTAATTCCCTAGGCTCCTGAGTACAGTAAAGTAATGTCAGATAAATTGTGAGAGATGCCATTGCTATGATTTAAGAGATTTTCTTTTTATTTTGTTTAAATGGTAATCTCCCTCATGCTTTCACTGTTAAATTTACAGCACTTAAATCACTACCTGCCATAGCATATAATAGGATTCAGTGGGTACTTACTGATAAATGAAGTCTAGCTTCATGATGGCAGCCCAAACAAGTTACTGTCATTCCAGACATTTCTGAGTATAAAGGAAAAAAGTGGTTGATAAACTCAAATATATTATGGATCGACAATTTTGTATGCAATACTGGGAAAAGAATAGAAACAACCTTTCTTGTAGTTTCTTTTCCTGATTTCTAGGTAGGTGGAAGATGGTATGTAGAGTAGCATGGGACAAGAAATGAGGAAAAATCAAGTCTTATAGCTGAAAGAAGGAAAAACAGCTCAGTAAGGCTCAGGAACCAAAGAATTTCTAATGGACTTGAAAGGCATGGACCCATGGAGTATTAATATTGGCAAAAGAAGAAATATAGGAGATTATTTCTGAGACAAGGTAAGAAGAATTCCCAAGGACGAAAGAGGAATGCTGGAGAGGAACACACAGAGTACTAAAAGAAAAAGCCTCCAAAGCTTTTTTAAGTACCAAAATTATTCTATTTCCTAAGTGTGTTATCCAATATGGAACATAAAATATGAACACGAAATACAAAGCACTTAAGAGTTAGTCTCTTCTACTATCTCTTTCAGGCAGTGTCATGTCCCATTTGGTAAGGGTATGGTCTTTGAAATCAAATCCTGGCTCAGCTAGTTACTTGAGCTTTTGCAAACTTGGGTGCCTCACATCTAAGTCACAAATAACCCTCTTAGCTAAGTTTGACATTTTGCAGTTCCACTGACCTTCAATTTCAGTTATTGGTGGTTAACTGTAGTCCAAAAATATTAAGTGGAAAATTCCAGAAATAAACAATTTATAAGTCTCCGAGTACTCTGATGAAATCTTACCCTATCTTGCTGAGTCCTGCCAGAAGCATGGGATATCTCACTGCTCCGTGTATCAGTACTGTATGTGTTATCCGCCCAGTGGTCATTTGCTAGCAGTCTCTGTTAGCAGGTCAGTTGTGACATTATCGTAGTGCTTGTGTTCAAGTAACCTTTACGGAGTAGCCTGTTATGTCACAGAGACTTTGTCACTTAACTTCCTCTCATCAGACAGGCATTGTTTCATCTTATATTATCTCAAAAAAGAAAGACAAGTATCAGAAATAATATATTCTGAGAAAAAGAGAGAACATGTTCAGGTAACTTTTATTACAACCTACTATTACAACTGTCCTTTTTATTATTGTGGCTATTATAAATTCTTTAATGTATGATTTAAACTTTCTTGTAGATATATATGAATAAACAGTCATGTAAAGATCAGTACTGGGACAATAGACATCCAAAGGAAGTTTTAGAATATTTTACTTCACAGATAACGAGACACACTCTGATGAGATTTGTTGATATGGCTAAATATGTGATGAAGAGTGGCTTGGCATGCAATCTTTTGTTTTCTCTCCTTTGTCCTCCTTCCTCTTCCTCTCTCTACCTTTCTCCCTTCCTATTGAGGAAAGAGAAACCACTCTGTGCTTAAAGGAAACATACCTCAGAGTTCTGTCAGTACTCTGAAAAAATTTAACTATGATTTTTTTGGTAAAAATCCTTAATATTACCTTTAGTTTCTTTCAATGGGTATACAAAAGTAATACATGATATGGCCCCTTTCCAATATTTGGGGAAGAGGAGGGGGAGATTTATGCATGTAACACAAAAAACATAGGAATTTCATAAAATGCCAAAATAAATGTAGGTATCTGTCATGTAGTACAAAGCATGACATAGCGAAAAAAGGTAATGATTCATTCTACTTACCAATTGCAGTTAAGAGTACTAAGATTACAAGGCTGTGCAATATTCCTAACATATCTGCTGCTTCTGCAAAAGAATGTTGGAGATAATTTTCACATGATTCATTTTAACCTCTCTATATTAATTTATGATCTCTTCTTTCTCCCATGCTTGTAAATAAAATAAGATAAAGTGCTTTAGGAGTAGACTGTAGAACTGGAAAATGATATATTTACTTTCAAAGACGTTTTTTAACTTTTGAATTTTTAAGAATGCAAATTTGCTTAATTTTAAATTTCTTGAATCTTACACAATTTGTGAACACATTTACAAGATTACCACAAAATTAAGACTTCCCAGTTGAAGGGAAAAAAATCCTGCTTCCTTTCTAAGATTAGTCTCAGTACACCACTTCTGATACCAGAGGTATGGGTCCTGTTTCTTCCATATTAAATAAGTTACTTCTCAGCAGGCACTGACTAGGTGTTGTACAATTTAAATCAATTCTGACTCCGTATCCCTGGAGTTGGGTGTCAGATCTCACAGTTAAAGACTCCTTTCCAAGTGACTGTCTCAATCCAGAAAACAAGTGCAAATCTCAGTTACCATCTGTTTTTGGCTATAAACTGGAGGTTCCCTTGACTCTGTCCTCCTTTTTGATAATTTCTTACAATGGCCCCCAGAACTGAGGAAAACAGTTTGCTTACAAAATTATCAGTTTCTCACAAGAAGACACAACTCAGAAACACAAGACTGAAGGGCAACCAAGGCCAGAGTATGAGGCAAGGGGCCTCCAGCTAGGGACCACTCCCTGCACTGCCACATGTTTATTAACCCAGAAGCTGTCAAAACTTCTTCGGTTAAAATATCTTCATGGAGCTTTTACTGCAATCCATGATCAATTTAGTCACTGACCATTATAACCAATTCAACCTCTAGCCAGTCACAGGGACTTCTTGGAGGTCTGAGATGGGGGACTGTAAGAAGGTGCTGAAAGTTCTAATCTCTAATCATATAGCTGGTTTCCCTGGAAACCAGTCCTCCCTGTGCACTAGGAAAAGAACAGGGCAGAGAACAAAGACATGTATTCCCTATTATGTCACATCAGCAGAGAAAGGAGAACACAAAAGTACCCTAGACAGACAAGACAATTTAAACCTGCATTTTCCTGTTCTGCCTTCAAACTGCACACTATTCCAAAGCATACTGGCTTAAAATTAAACTTCTACCCCCTAGGAAGTTTTTGCTCTGTTAAAAATGTAATGGAAAACAAAACAAAAATACAACTTTGTATTTTGTTGGTTTTCTATCTGTGCTATAAAAATACTTGAATATTTCATTAGACCTACTACCCCAAGGATGCTTCTCAGGGAAAACTGCAGCTGCCACAGTGACCCTGTCTAGGAGGGAGATTGAGATATACGAAGGTACTCCCCAGTTTAGAAGCATCTTAGTACAGGTTGAGATCTCATAAAACATGAAGTGAGGGCACTACTGAGGTCACATTTCAAAGAAGAACTGAAGTTTACATGCATAGACACTGTTGTCAACCTAGTTTTTTGGGAATATTTGGGTGGTTTTGCCCCAAACAAGTGAAAGCATGAAAAGAAATGGTGTCAAGAAGAAAGTATACACCATTTCCGTTCACATGAATGAAGGAACACTCGTGCCTTTAATATTCAAGCATATATATAAAATTGTTTTTGAACCCAAATGTCTTGAGTGTGGTCTCTTCGTGCACATTGTAACAGGATCCAGTGTACTTCATGAAACCCCAGGCAGTAGATGTGCACATAATGCAAAAAAAAAAAAAAAGTTAGAAGGTCAGAGAACCTATACAAACAGATGTTCTCTCTCTTGAATTATTGTTCAACTTTCTGGTATCACAACACTATTCTGTCATCTAGGATAAGTGCAAATCACAGAGGCGTCAACACTTTGTTAATATTCTGGTGGTAGACAAACTGCAAGTATGTGGCATCTGGTTAGCTTTTAGAGAAGCTAGCAGCTATACTTCTCATTAAGTGGGGACAACTTGGCTTGCCATAGCTGACAGGCATATTTAAAGCTGTTTTACCCTCGTAACAAATGCCAGATGCCAGGCTAGATTCGTAAACATGAACCAGTTGAATTTGAAAATATTAATGTGCCACATTGGAAACTTTATGTTCTACTCATTTCATTTTCCAAAGCTTCCCACATGCAGTGTAAGTAATGAATTTCTGGGGTGCTGGTGTTAGGACAGTGGAATTAGAGCTGGGGAGGAGAAGTGGACCTCAGCCACGTAAGTCCAAGAGGCTGGAGAACCAAAAGGAACTCCCTTATCGTTAAGCAAAAAAGCCGTGAGGCCCTAAAGGATTGTTTAACTAAAAATGAGTATTTACCTCCTGTTTTTGCATGGTGTGTGGGTGATAGAGTGATAGAGCACTCCAATTTTCTGGCCCTGGTGTTATCACATGCAAAGTAATAGTGGCAATTAGCTACTATTTTCGTGTAGTAATTAGCTATTACTTCACAGAGAGAACGAAAATTTTAAGGATTAACTGTGAGGTGAAACTGTGAAAATTTTATTACTCTGAAACTATACCTGGAAATTTTAGGGAAGTACCTGTGTTCTCTGCAAATAACTATTTCTAATTTCTAGGGAAAGAAGTCAAATATTTGTAAGTGAAATTTTTCTTTGAACAGTCATACACCACTTATTCCATAGTATTTGAAGCTGTAATGTAAAGTAGAATTAAATTCTGTTTCTGAATTGTGTGCTTGAGTGACTGTGAGAAAGTCATTTATATGCCTCAGTCTCTATATCCATAAAATGGGGATATATTTTGAAGTTACACATAAAATATTTTGTATAGTCAACTGCTTATAGAGATGACACTATAAATGCTAGGTATTAATACTGGTTGTTACTTAGAAGCCTGATGAGGAAGTGAAGTATAGCAAGTTCTAGTCAGTTTAATTCAAATCACAAAGCTAGTGGTATTACCAGGTATTGAATCCAAATGGTCTGAGTCAGAATTACTTTTTTGAAAAATTATTGTATTGTTCTACTGAGCTACTTTTACATTACAATTCATTGTAAGTACATGTTTAGAAACGCATTCAGTGGGAACTCAATATTTCAAATTCTGGTCAATAGAAATATCATACAACTTTTATTTTGAATATTGTTGGTTACATTTTCCAAGTATATAAAAATTCAATAAAATACATACTAAGCATGCTGGCTTTGGTATAAAAGATAAAAAGAATTAGCTAGTATCCAAATGTAGCATTTATTTATTCTCTTCGTCTATCATACATACCGGAGTGCTCTAAAACTGTGTAAGACACGGCAATTTTACAGAAAAGTGAAGTGGGTTTGCTGACGCAGCCTGAATGAACTGTCACAAAATTTTGGAGAAGAGACACCTGTTAGTGCCATAGTAGGGGAGATTAAATGCAAATAAATTATCAAGAGACTCTGAGTTCGAAGGATGTTTAAACTGCATCTCAGAGGGTGGGAAACATTTTCAGGTAAATAAGTAAAAGAACCCAAAGTGCGGAGCCCTGAAAAGGCCTGCTGAGTCTAGGAATATTAGTAGTATCAGAATGCCCAATAGGAAGTATTGTGTGGGGGATGTGGTGAGAGAGTGAGTTGTCTGAGAAAAAAGACCGTTAATAGAGCGTAGGGACTTTTCTGGAGGTATGTTTAGAGAGATGGTTCTGATACTTAATGAATGAAGACAAGACAGGGCAGGGCCAGGGGTGAAAAACAAAATCAATAATGATTTTCTTGCGATAATACAGATAAAAATAATGATGGTGTAGTGGATTGATAACTGGTGGTCAACTTATAACCTCCAGCTGAACTGAGTAATTGTGGTGCTGGGTGTGGGAGGCCCACCTGAGGACTGTTGCCAGCAGCATAAGAGGCAGACCTAGAGAAGAAGAAGCAGGCTGTTGGGAGCTGAAAGAGACTGTGGGGAGCTGGCTTTCCTGATGAACTTGGCTGTTTTCATCCGCTGAGGAGCTCGGGACCTCGCTGGCTCTGAGAATGGCTTCAGTTCACTTTGGGGAAGCTCTCGTCCTCACTTTGAGCATCCCTTCCTGGTTCCAGAGTGGAAGATGGTGCACTGCCGGCCTCCAGGAAAAGCTTGCTGCACTGGCTTCCCTGATTGGAACTCGGCCATCCTGATCTTCGGAGGAGCTTGGGACCTCACAGTTGCTGAGGATGGCCATGGTAACTTTTGGGGGAGTTGTGGTTCTTCTGAGCATCACTTTCTGGCTCCAGTGCAGA